CCCCCCAATTTTTTCCACAGTTGTATTTCCCGACATTTTGCGGCTTTTCCGCCCTGTGGCTAGCATTATGTTCACGATCGATTATTTGGGTCAAAGTTCTATTTTTTGCGAATTTGATAGCTATTTAATATTATGTTTTGCTTTCTTTTGTAGAGTGGTTAAAGCACAAGAGGGTGAAAATTTTCTCTGACAACCAGAGTGCTGCCAGAGTACTTTCCTTTGGTGTCTTTAAGGTGTGTCCGATGCCTTTGTCCGAGACTGGAGTGGAAAGGATAACTGGATTTTCTTTCCAGTGTGCCTGGTAGTGGTCGCCTGATTTGAGCCTGATTTGGCCTTGTATGCCCGGTTTGGCACATTTGTGCGGCATGTGAGCCTGATTTGGCTTATTTTTTAGCCTTATTTGGCATAATCTTGAGCTTGATTTGGCATATTTGTGAGCCTGATTTGGCATAATCTTGAGCCTGATTTGGCATATCTGTGAGCCTGATTTGGCATATCTGCGAGCCTGATCGATTTGGCATATCTGTGAGCCTGCTTTGGCTTGATTTGCGAGTCTGATTTGGCATATCAGTGAGCCTGCTTTAGCTTATTTTTGAGCCTGATTTGGCATGTTTCAAGTCATTTTGGTGTCGGTTCGCTTTGGGCCTGTAATATAATTTTTTTTCAATTCTTCTTGGCTCGAAAATTTTGCTTAGCGCTTCCCTTGTTCCATGTTTTTTGTTCAGTTTAGTAAATAACGCTGTAGTTGTTTTATTTTTATTCTATTTTCTTTTATTTCAGTTGCCCTAAATTCCAGGTTATGGCTTGAAACAGCCCCCTTGACTGATTCTTCGCTGAGGGATACAGTTCTAGGCCTGACTGGTTTGTAGTTGGATGCTAACGTTCCATCCACAATCTTGAAGATACGGGTCTGGCTTATTGTGGTGGCGTGAGTGGACTTTATCAAAGACTGGTGTTTCTGCTATTCGAAAAACCTTTGCATATCTCATTGTATCTATCTAAGTTAGCCTAGCGTTCTGTGGATAACACTGGCACATCTTATTTAGAATCTGCTGTTTACAGTATAAATTTGAGCCATGCAGTGGCTGGTATTTATAAAGTTTGTTCTGTTAACCACGCCTTCCTTTAGTTTCCCTTTAAATTAGAGGACGCCAAAAGAAGCTAGGCTTGCGCACCCAGTTTAGACTCAGTAGCTGCTTTCTGTTAGTTTTGTCAGGCGATTGCTGCAGACTCTGCCTCTAAATCGCGATGTTTTCCATCTAAAATATATACATGTAATAGTTTTATGTCGATTTATGTGTCCATGCAAGCGCAAAGTAGATCTATTTTGAACTCTGAGGCCTTGTCCCGTAGCTGTGACCTAGTGTTTAGCTTATTGGAAAAATTGTTTTTTTTTTTTTTTAGTGATTGAAGTTCGGCTTTTGCTCACGTCTGTTTTCTTCATTTCAAAGACCAACCCTCGCAGTGACTGGCTACAATATAGATGAAGGAAAGGATTCATTTGTCAATCTTCAGATGAGTGTGATTTGATTTACTTTAGTGTTTCCGAATAATTTTTCCTGGGGATATCTGTTCAGGAGTTATATAAGGTCGCTTTAAGTCCTTCTTTAGTCTTTGTGAGTCAAGCTTAAAAGCACCTCAGTTCACTGTTGCTACCAGTGCCCACTTCCGAGTTTTTAGCCAATGGCTGTATTATCGAGCATGGTGAGCCTCCATTCTGACGGTTGCAGTCGTCATCGATCTTACGCGGTCACGTTATTTGCTACCTCGTTCGATTTAAGTTTAAGTACGAGAATTTTTCGCACCTTATCGCAGGTTCTTTAAGAGGGGCACCGAGGCTATGAGTGGGACCTATAATCTAGATTGACATTTCCTTAGATCATCAGAAGTATATAGGTTTTTCCTTGGCCCTTCCAGGTGTGCTTTGGTATTTCGCTTTCTCGATTTTAGTCTTTGGTCTCGTTAAGCGTTTGTTTTTGTTTTACTGGCTTTCTATGGGTCTGAAGTTTTTTGTTTATCTCGATGACGCATTTGGTAGTCATCAAGAGGACTCCCGCCGCCCTGTAGCTTTCATTGAGCGCAAGGGGCGTCTTCTTCCGGTTTCCTTATTGGTAAGGAGAAATCCCAACGGGTCCCAATTCTAGTGAGCGAGTGGC